TCCTCACCAGTCGACTGATGGACCCGGTCAAGGCTTTGGGAAGAGCCGGGATCCTGAAAGGCAGCTTTCTCAACAAGTTCGACGGCGGAGTTGAGATTCTCGATGACCTCGATGATCACTGGACTGCAACCAACCACAAGCATGAGCGTAACGATTTGGTCAGAGACCTACAAGATCTTGCGGCGGAAAAGTCCTGTCGTATCACTGTTCTGAGCGGCGACGTGCACCTCGCTGCGATCGGCCAATTTCATTCGAACCCGAAACTGAAGATTCCAAAGGACAAAGATCACCGATACATGCCAAATGTAGTATCCTCGGCCATCGTGAACACTCCACCATCAGACATGTTGGCCGATATCTTGAACAAACGGAACAAAGTACATCACCTAGACCACTACACGGACGAAGACATGATCCCTATGTTCACGCATGATGTGAACGACAAGAAACGGAATAACAAACGATTGTTACCTCGACGCAACTGGTGTTCGATCCAGGAGTATATTCCAGGCTCGACCCCTCCTCCTTCGCCATCCGAAAGTTCGGCAGTCTTCGAAGATGAAGATTTCGAGCAAAGTCCAGAAGCTCGCCCTCGACGATTCTCCTTCACCAAGACAGATGTAAATCCGCGAGCTCTCATCCGCCGACTCAGCTCACGAAAAGCGCCTCCTACGTCGTATCGTGACGCAATTTATGATCAAGGTCGTTCGGCCTCTCACGATGGGACAACACGATCTGAAGGGCCGACGTTGGCCCAAGACCGAAACGCGAGCGGCTCGCGACAAGCCTCAAGCGAGTTTCAGGCTCTTCCAAGTAGACGAGCTTCCTCGTTTGACCATACATCTGGCGGTGTACCTGTGCGGCCAGGCACATTCAAACGCCGTCCTACCAATTTCTCAGAAAAAGCCGCTAGGAAAGGAAACGTACCCGCCATCGACGCCGAAGGTAATGAAATCGATGTCAATGATCATGTGAACCTGGAAGACGGTCTCGATGTAGTCTTGAATGTTGAAGTCAATCAGAAAGACCCGTCGGGAATTACTGTGCCTTACAGGCTGCTTGTTCCAGCTCTTTGGTACGACGGTAGCTCTGACCGGGAAAAGCTTGACGAGGCCAGTGGAATGCAAAGAAAACCCACTCTATTGAACAGATTTGGCATTGGTAAGAGGATGCCAAAAGCCCCCGGCAACCAAGAAGAAGATTGGGGCCAGGAGGAAAGCGATGAGGACTATGCAGAAGATTCGTATGCCCCGAGAGCAGGAGCTGCACCTCGTCGAAGATTTAGTCTGTTTGGGAGCCGCCGACAAAGGAGGGAAGACTACCCGAGCGATGACGAGGATGACACCGAAGACCAACCTCAGGTTCAGGCCAATGGAACTGGACAATCTCAACAATACCGCCCAGAGAACGGCACTCTGGGTCATCACCCGGTGTCACAGCCCCCTAATGCTGAATATCAGATGGTGCACAACATGACCAGTCCCCCGAATCACGACATGCTATATGACACCGACAATCGGCCACCAGCAAGTCACAGTCTCGAGCCCGGTGTCCATTCCAGCGTCCGGCGCTCCTTGACGATATCTGGCCGTGGTATTCAAACTCGTGGGGGCGGAATGCCGGTGGGAAATACCGGAGGCAACCACTCTGGTCAACAGCTCTCTTCCGTGCAAGCAATGGAAAGAGGCCAACCTCCTGTTGCTCCATCGTCAGCGGCGTTCGTGACAAATCCCCGTGGTGCTCCGGATAGGCCTCAGCGCCGCCTCAGCAAACAGGAACGCGTCCTAGGAATCTCACCCTCTGAGCCGCAACCCTACGGGATCCCACAGAAATTGAGAGGCAACGGCATCATCGGGCGAGATTTCAGACAAACATACGACCAGGGGGATGAATTTGAGGCCCCTCCCAGGAAGGGATATTCTGGTATAGAAGCATACAAAGAGCCGAGGCCACGACGGACATTCAGTCTAAAAAGGGCGCGGAATTGGTTTGATGGGAGATCTCGAGAGGAGGAATATGATTGAGGGTTATTTGGAAACAGGTGGAAGAGTGTCAAACCTGGATATCCAATCAAGTGACTGGCTCAGGCACCTTGGAGGCGACTACCAATGCGTGGGCTGGTCTATCTGCATATGGCGAAGCTTTCAGTCGATTCTCTTCCCCTTCCATGGTCGGAGTGTTTTGCGAATATTAAAAGCATTCAGCGTTGGAGCCTTGCATCAACATGGTCGAGATTCGCTACGAAATTTAGTTCTTAATGACATTTGTCACCTTCATCCCACAGTCTGACTGCAGATTTATACTCCTCATTCCCACGAGGGTTTTCTAGTCCGAAGAAATGGCGTCTTCACCAATCATCCATCACGTTGGAATCACACGGTCGCTTTATTGTCAGTTCCCTCGACACAGGCGAACAGGATGACAGGATCCATCACGCGGCAGGGTCTCGACCTGGATTCTTTGTGTACAGCTGAACCTGCCCCTCGTTCTGTCACACGTCCAGGTGTCAGATGCAACCAATAGCAGGCCACTCTTTCAGCCAGCCCAGAGATATTTCTAGGTGCTCAGGCATCCGTCTTGCTGGAGCTGAACTTTCGCCAGCCTGATGGCAGATTCCGTGCGGTGAAGATGGGAATTGCCATCGTATATGCGGGCATCTTTCTTTGTTCAAGGTGTCGAGCCACTGTTCGGCGTGTTTGATGTATAAGAAGCTGACCAGCTTCCTTTCCTCGCTGCTGCTGGGTGCTGAGTGCTGCTGAGAGCTACAGGAACCTTTCCCTTTTCTACCAGAGCATTCACTTTGACACAGAGAGTCCATATGGGCCGGTCACCTGCAAATTACAAACGTCTCATTGTGGTAAGATGACTGCTTGAGCAGTGCTGTTTCATGGCTCAGTATGGATAGGGCTAACGGCGACTTGCAGCTTTGCGATGGTATATGCTGTCTCCTCCTCCAGACCAATACTCTGTCTCTCGACGAAAGGGGGCTATTCTCACCCCATTACATTTCCGTTGATGATGATGATGTCGAACTCAGAGGCTGACTCTCATTTGTTTCTGTAGGAACGTGGCAAAGTATCCTGAATACCAGCGATCCCGGCCATCCAACCAACATTGCCCGCTTCGCTAGAGCCATCAGTCCTGTTGCTCTGGTCAAAGGCCAGGATGGTGTAGAACGGGAGGTCGAGCAGATTATCTACTATCAACCTGGTGTGGGAACAGGAATCGGCGACAAGATCCGCGGCGGTGAGACCTTGCTCTGTTCTCTTGCGTGACACCACAAGCTATTTGTCGTGCAAGTACCGGCATGGACAGGTTCTGATTGACCAAATAGGTGTCTATGGCGCGGGACTGTCTGCCAATATCCGGGCGGCCTATGCTTTCTTAGCACACAACTATGACCCCAATCCCGGAGACGAGATCTTCTTCTTTGGCTTCTCCCGTGGTGCCTATACTGCCCGGTCCATTGCTGGGTTGGTGACCAAGCTTGGACTCCTGACCAAACGCGGCATGGACTGGTTCCCGCAAGTCTACGAGGAATACTACAAGGATGCATCCAGCAAACCCGATTTCGACTTTTCTCCCACCCTCAAGAAGTTGATCGGCAACGACGTGAACGAGAATGCAAAAGAAGCGATCAAGATCGTCGGGGTTTGGGACACTGTGGCGTTTCACGGACAGGGATTCGGTGGCGAAAAGATCGAATTCCACAACGCCGAGTTGTCGACCAAAGTCCAATTTGCATATCACGCCCTGGCGCTGGACGAGCGCCGCATCCCCTTCATCCCGACACTGTGGCAGTGGCCGAAGGATCCCAGCAACGGGTCGCAGCTGTACCAGCCCAAGAAAGGCCCCGGTCTTCAAGTGATGAAGCAGGTCTGGTTCTCCGGAGTGCATAGCGACATCGGTGGTGGCATGGATGACCCTAGAGGGGCCGACATCACGCTGGCCTGGATGCTTGCCCAATGCTCCAAGGACAAGAAACTGGCATTCATCGACGAGGACCCCGAACACCCGGACGACCCGAATGAATACTACCTGCTGGCGGACCGACTCAAGCCCAACCCGAACAAGACCTGGAGTCAGCTGGACGGCGAGCTTGCCCCCAAGCCCGGCACCGGCATCATCGGCGCCATCAAGGACACATTCGGCGAGATCATCATGGATGATCGTGAGGCCTGGCCGATGGAAAACACGTTTGAACGGATTCACCGCTCGATCCACGACCGCAACTTCGGCAAATGGCCCTGTGGCATGCTCAAGGGCACGGACCATGGCGGTCTCTGGGCGTTGGCCAGTCCTAGTAAATATGGCAAGGCTCTTCCGGAGTTGGAACGCGATGAGGAGGCCGATGCGATCGAGGACAAGTATCGTGGGAGAGTCCGTGCAGCTCCAGGGTTGAAGGGCGGTCCTGCCATACCGAAATTGTAGAGAGGACACATGGCTTAGCGGTGACTTTAACAAGACGTTTGCGAAACGGAGAAATCCCCAATTCTTTTGTCGTTGTGCTGTGTGTGTGTATGTGTATGTGTACGTCTTGGAAACGGTTTCTATATAAAAGCATCGATCGAGCCAGGACTCGCACTTTTGTTCCAAACCCACCACCACCACCCACTTAAATTACTTTACGGGGTACACCCAACGATTCGCTCCGTTCCCCCCCAAGTTCCCGTATGCAGGGGGTCTCGTGGGTTTCATTTTCCGCCCCCCGCTAAGAGACACGGGCGACAAGGACCTGGCGAATCTGGCGAATAATCACCAGTAAATCAGGGATTGATTGGTTGCGAAATGCTTTGTGAGGCTTGAGGGCTGTGTCAGTCGCAGACCCCCCTACATGCGTGCAGCCGCCTGATCAAGTCCCTCGAGGTTCTTCATATTGATCTCGTGTCTCTCTTTATTTTGGTTTCTCTCGTACATACTCTTTTCTTGTTGACAACTTAGGTAGAGGGTCTTGTAAGGTATCTGTCTTCGCCGCCCTCTCTTCGTCAAGCAGGGTCGCCATGGCGCAGCCTCAGCCTCAGCCACAACTTCAACCTCAGCCTCATCCTCAGCAGGTATACGACCTAGACGACGACGCCGCGTTCAACACGTGCGAGGCGAGACTGCAGCACGCAACGACGGAAAACTTCATCGTCAGCTTCGACAGCACCGAGGCCCGATGCGCCGTCGATATTGACCGCGAGGCCGCCCTGGCGTGGCTCGAGCAGCCCGACCGCCGCAACGGGAGCCAGAGTCAGGCCCTGTGGATGAACTTTTGGGCCTCGGAGTCCCAAAAGCCCATCATCGAGGAGGTCGCCAAGAAGTACGACCTGTCTCCACGGCTAGCGGGCTTGTTGTGTCAGGCCATCACGTCGCCGAGTCAGGACCACGAGAGAGAGAGAGAGAAGAAGAGCGTGGTGGGTTCGACCGACTGTGAGGATAATACGTCGCGGTCATCCACCTCTGCGCGGCAAAAGATCTCGAAAACACCTCCACCATCATCGGCGACGACCGACGTCGAGAAAGGCGTGCCTCTTCATCACTCGACGCCCTTGTTGGAACACCAACACCAACAAGCAGGCATCGACCCGAGGGATCTGGAGGGCTTGACCTTTCACAGGGTGGTGAGGAATCTATGGCATTTTTGCTCCGTCGACTTTGGTCGTCGGTATATCTACATTGGCTTCAATGCATTGTACTCTCTGCCTAGACCCAACAAGGACACAGCGACTGCGGACGACGACGATGACGACGGTGGTGCACCTCCTGAGGACGACGCTGCCAACAACACGTCACGACACACAGGAAAGGATAGCAGCAAGCCGCCGGGCCAGAGGATATGGTCGTCGCTATTGATCTGTGACGACGGGACCGTCGTGTCTGTGTTTGAACGCCCGCCACCCCACGAACCGCACCACGTGTCCAGACGCAACGTGCTCAACGTCTTCCACCACCTCTCCAAACAGCACAACAAGGACAGCTCGCGCGACGCCCTCATGAAGGTGCGCGTGCGGTGGAACGAGTATTCCTCCTCCTCCGCCAACACAGCAGCTGGCTACGACCCCAAGGAAGCGGCGAGCCTGTTGTTCTACTACCTCTTCGACGACTGGGTGTCGACCTACAGGCTGATTGCCCGGCTGGACCACCCGTACCGGCGCGAGCTGGAGGAGATGCAGCAGCTCATGTTCAAGGCGGCCGACGTGTCCCACGTCAAGAAGGTGCACGAGATCGGCACCCAGCTCACCGTCCTCAAGCTCATGTACGAGAGCTACGAGTGGATCGTGTCCCGTCTGCTGCACAGCCAGCGGCTGGCCATGGACGCAAACAGCCTCCTGCTCCAGCCGAGGGGCACGTTCCACGACCACAACCACGATCCCATGAAGCTCGGTCACCACACGCCCACGTCGCAGCTGGCGCCGTACGAGGAGGGGTTTTTGGCCGATGACTCGAGGTCGAATGTCAAGTTGAGCTTTTCCGCCGTGGCGCGTTTCGAGCGGCTTCTCGGCCGGATTCGATTGTACGCGCTGACCGAGATCGACGAGTGCATCAAGCAGAAGGAGTCACTTGTGCTTATGGTAAGGGTGTTTTCCTTATCCCTCTCCCTCTCCCTCTCTCCCTCTCCCTCTCTCCCTCTCCCTCAATATCCGCCGCTAACGTGAACGCAGAACTTCAACCTGGTGGCCTTGAAAGAATCCCAGGCCGTCGAGCGGCTCACCCGGACCACGATCCTCCTGGCAAAAGCGACCATCCTGTTCCTGCCCGTCAGTCTCATGACCGCCTACTTTTCCATCCAGCTCCCCGAAATCGCCGAAAAGTACAGCCTGAAGACGTACTGGCTGAGTTTCCTGGTGGTCAGCATCCTTTCCATCCTGTTCCTGGTCGTCTTTGGCGTCACGACACACACCCTCGAAGGCCAGACCGTGTATCGCTCCATCACGAGTATCGTCGGTAGGGCCATTTTTGACGCCAGCAAGAGGAGGAAGAGGAAGACGCAATGAGGTGGCTTTGTCAGTCGGCATCGTGTCCCCCCGACGGCCAGGGGAGCATTGCCTTCTTGGAGCTATCCCACCTATACACTCCGCCGTCTCCGACATTGTATCGGTAGTAGTTCTCCGTGCCGGCTGGAACCATGGCCCGGCGCAAGGTGATGTTGATTCGACCTCTGTCGGCCTCGCCGCCCTTTCGCTTCGGGATGCTGTGTAGCCAGTTCGACTGCGTGGGGCCTCGCATCAGGATCATGTCGCCACTGGCCAGGGGCAACTTGATGTCCTTGGTCTCCAGCTTCGGCTCGCCGTCCCGGGGAGGTTTATGCTTCATCAGGAAATCCCTCTTTGCGCCGAGCGTGAACGACGCGATGGCGGGTTCGGGGCCGAGGAAACGCTCGTCGTCGCTGTGGAACGAGATGCTGTCGCTTCCGGAGGCGTAGTAATTCACCAGGCAGAAGTTGTACTGGGTGTTGGTGTTGGCTTCGGTCACTCTGCGGAGCAGATCCAAGCACTCCGGGATCGGCCGTGGTTTGCATTTATACTTGTCCCTGCGCACGGGCTTTGACGGGTCCGACGCCTCGACGATGCGCGACCGCGACTCGTCGTTGTCATCACCGTCCACGAAGCGACTCGTCTCGTCGATGCCAAACACGGTGGTGAAGCGCGGCGTGTTGATCAAGGTCTCCTTGCCGAACCGCTTGATGGTGTATCTGACGCGGTAGAAGAAGAGCTCGGCCCGCAGGAAATTGAACACGTCCCGTTCGATCGATCGCGGGATGAACGGCTGGAAGTACACCAGGTCCAGGTGTGGCTGGTCCCGGATCTCCCTGCCCTGGGCCGTGACGAGCAGTTCGATCTCCGACACGACGTGGACGGGCAGGTGAGGGATTGGCCAGGGATACGTGGGGTGGTTTGTCGTTGTCGTCCCTAGCACAGCTCTCGCGGGGGAGTCGTTGTCTGTATCTGCCGGTTCTTGGATCGGATCATTAGCAGCGGTGCGTGTTTTTTTGTTCGGCGTCGAGCGAGCAAAGTATGTATCGAGAGTGCGCTTGGCCATTAATATTGAGTTTCTCGTTTTTCTCCTTCTGAGGCTCTGTCTTTCTCCCAAATCCCTACCTCGATTCCAAGACCTCTCGATCTTGTACTAATTCGATGAGCGAGGGTCACTATGTACCCGGGTAGAACATCTGGTTTCGCACTGGAGGAGATGAGGGTGGGTGGGTGGTGGTGGTGGGAGGGA